CCTCGATCCACACATTCCCTACCTATATTCACAACAATAACGATAAAGACCAGCCACCTAGCCGAAACTGAAGACAGTTTATGAATGACTGCTTATATAAAGACTGTATTGTCACGAAAGCATTGGTCTGGGACGATCGACTTCTGCGATAGACGGGAATGAGGGTTGTAGAGACGGTGGGCAACAACCGTCAGTAAATCACACGTACCCAGCAGGAACGAAATACTCCTCTTTGGATAGGCGCCGCCGGACAGTTCGTCGAAGTGAGTCATAGCCTTAGTGGATAGGACACCAGCTGACCGTCTTGGGATTTCAAGGACACACGCGCTCAGTTTATGTGAACCAGGCTACATCAACTCTACATGAGCACCGTCAGGTCGAATTGTGTGTGGCTTGCTGTCGAACAGATGAAGACTCCGTTGCGGATTGCGTGAGAAATGGGCTGAAATATATATATCAGGATTACCAAGCTATGAGGGCTGTCTACTATCAAGAGATTTATAGTGGGCTGTCCAGTTGGGCGCACTCGCGGTATCCGGGGTTGGTCGGTTTTCAGTGGTTATTGACTACAGAGACCGGATTTCAGCCATTGTGTAGGACCCACAAGTTGGATTATATATACACCAAATGAGTGTAATTCAGAATGCGGGGACGGAAAAGACATCTTAGACAGCATTAGTAGGTAGACCACAATATCAGCAGAAGCTGTAGTCCTCGAATGTTACACAGAAAAGCACTCATCGGACGGAATGCCAAAAAACAAGAGGTACTAATGGAAAAAGACGCTGTCACAGATTCACTTATTCGTCCTGATGCATGCTCAAACTGATGCCGGTTAACGTCGACCCACACGATATGAGATTATTTTTGTGTGTAAGATAATTCGTGCTTTCGTGATAGCTAAGATGCCATTAGAGTGCCAATCCATGTACAGGAAGATTAAGACCTCCGATAAAAGTTCAATCCAAATTCCTTAGAGTGAGGCAGCCGTGGTTGGGTTGATATGACCAGACTGGTTCGAATTTCGTGAGATCGGTAGTCACAGATATTCGTCGTCAAAAGCACGAACCAACAGACATTCATGGTGCCCACATTGGGGTCTGTGACTCCAAGGTTAACCCCTGAGCTACCATAGGTTGTCTCTATGACGTATATGATAAACCCTGGGATTAGCGGACTATCCGACTTGTGATATTTGCCACCAACATTGGAACAACAATCCCGGAGATCAGCCGCACCTAGACTAGCCGTAGTTTAAGTTTTATTCCGAGCTGAATTACCCTCAAGAATGCATTTTCGACACCAGTATCCGTCAAAGCATTATCAGAATCGACAGGACTCGACCACATGAGATTGACGTTGGTGATAGTTCGACAATACTAAAGCTATTCTTCAAATTAAGTTTATAAAACTAAAACATATTAGGTCTGGTTGGTCACATAGTCAATTTCAATCAATTCATCTCTTTACGAGAGTTTTGAGAAGGCGAGTGGTTCAGCAACAATGCTTTATAGGGTCAATCGTGCAAACCTAATGATGAGAAGTGAATTAGCAAAAATAGCTTATTTGTCCTTGGTTTGCACGTGGACCAAACTCAGAGAAATAGGGTCCTTTGTCAATTAGGTGGAGTAATCGCTTTTATCATTAGTAGCGGCTTGCAGGTAGTATCAGCCGGCTTAGCGCAAACCGCCTTTGGTTTGATTTGTTGACATAACAAACTACTAATAAGGCTGTTGACAACTGTTCGAGAGCACATCACCGGTTTCACCTCTCTTGAGGGTTATCAGGCAGGTGAAACGTTCAGTTGAGTTTCCCTCAACCCCAACGCAGTTCACAACTGGGTGTATTTCGACATCTACTATTTGGCGTTCAAATAGGACATAAGTTCGTTGGGAACTACGCAGTCAAGACGAGCCAAAAGAACGGTGAGATTAGCAGACCACAGGAAAAATCTCAATAACCCTATGAGTAGCGTGTCATGACAGGAAGTTACACTGGGATATCTCAAATATCGCGCCAACTGAGAAACAGTGCGGCCTTTATGCAACATGTTCACTTAAAGAATATGATAAGCGAGAGATGCGGTTCATCGTTCCAGTCCTCGGTTTATTCACCGTTTACAATTGTCCACCGGAACAACCAATACTGACCGGCAAATCCGTTTCGGGTGCTAGCCAGCTGTGAGTTTCTTCCGTGCGTTCAGTTTTAGTTGAATAGAACTGTGAGGTTTTGCATCTTGCATTAAACATAATCACGGAAGATGTGAGAAGGATCCGACAGCTGGTAAATATTACCTCGAGTGTTCGGATGCTGCCCGTTCAAATTGAGGTAAGTTTGATACCATGTTAATCACTCGTGATGTCATCGATCGGATCGGGCACGGACGGTAGGTTGTACTCAACCAGCAAAAGTGAGTGATGATTGTCCACAATGGACAATGAACAATGGAGCACCACCCCTCTACCCGATTATGACGCACGCTAGATGTGGACGAGCACCAAATAATGGCGAGAAAAAAGTCGCGCTTCTCAGTGCTTGACCATGACGCTGGGCGACTTATCTGACGAATCAACTCGCTTTTCTTGAATGGGACTCCGAAGATGTGTCATACACACTGGAAAGATGGACAAAAGCCTCACATCTACGTTCGCCATCAAGCGGATAGGACGCAAATTGACGGATTTTACAAATCGGTGGATTAATGGAGTAGCAGAAGACGAAGTGAACGGATACATTTGAGGTCGTCACCACTCGGCAGCCATAGGATGATTCGAAGAGTCGTGAACTGCTGCACAAAACCATGAAAAGCAATATTGTGAACGACTCACATTTTACCCGGCAACTAGTGCGCACGAAGCTTGGCGGGTCAAGTTGACCTTGAATGGCAGTGGGCCCTGTTTATAAAACCCCTGGACTCTCAGGTCCACCAGTATGAGTGAACTGTACATCCAGAGTCGTTTGTGTGGTTATTAGCTGCTTGGTCCTGCGGTCAAGGTGAAACATTGCTAACCATAGGTATATGAGACCGATCCGTTACCCTTAACTGACAAGTCTGAGTATGAAAGGAACGCGTGGTGGAGTGGCCATTTTCTGATCTTCGATGACTAAACATCAGGAACAACTGCCTGATAATTATCGGGCAGTCGAGTTTCTTGACAAACTCATCGTTTCAGGGTCGAAGAGCTCAATAAACAACTATGTGTGTATTGGTAATTACCACAAACTAATAAATGGTAAACAAGATTGGTCAGCCCCACGAATAATACTCTAAGAGGGAATCAGTATGTCCAATTGAATGACGGTCCACGCTCCTCGGAGATAAACGACGTCCACTGAAATGAAAAACAGAGCCCCATGCCTAGTCTGGAGTGTGAGAAAAGGCATTCCGAACCCTACACAGAGATATCCAAGTAACTACTTTTCTGCAGTTGGCTGCTGGTATGCGCCTAAGGTTTGAGAATGGAGTTATCACGTACCTAGGGTCTTTCCACTCAGATTGATGAGAACTGTCAGTTCTACATGAAACATTTTCGGAACCAACAATCGCACCTGAGTTCACGTATGGCTACCTTCACCTAGGAAGCATGGTGTATGCTCGTAATGTATAGGAATATTGGTAGGTCGACTGCGTTTACCGGTTGGTGTTCATCTGCTGACGAAATGCTTTCAATCGAATGGCCATGCTCGGCGAACAGCCACCTAAGATCCAAGTTGGTGAGTGCGTCGGAAGGATGCTGCATCCCGACTAGTGTAGAAACAAACGGTCAGCTTCGTATCTGTGGAATCTCCCCTAACTGGGGACGTAGAACCATCTATTAGCCCAAAATAGCCAATACCTCAAAGACCAACGACTAGCACATGCAAGCAGCTGAAGAACGACATAAAGCACGATATACAGTGTATGCAGAAACGCGAAGTAGCCGACAAAACGAGCCAACGGGAGTTTAAACCAGGTCGGACACATTCATTGGCATTTCATCGATTTGAGTGGAGTAGTACTGTTCAATGTCACGAAGGATTCGAATGTCTTCGGTCTTGACAAAATTGATCGCTACACCCTTGCGACCGAAACGACCCGAGCGACCGATTCGATGGATGTACAATTCACGATTATTAGGAAGGTCGTAGTTGATGACCAGAGACACTTGCTGTACATCTAATCCACGCGCCCACAGGTCGGTTGTGATCAGGACGCGGCTGGAAATAAAACGAGATTGTGTGACAGAGCAAGAAGATAGCGAAACAAACGAAGATGGACAGTCGTCAGAGACTGTAAAAGGAAAGACCAAAGCGAAAATTGTGAGCAAACTGGTCTTTGCATTTTGAATAAAAGCACTTCAATGTACTCGTTTTCGTGAAGATAATGAAAGCACACGATCCACTACCACGAACACTGGTATCACTGACTGTTCTGGTGAAGAATCACAACTAAAATTAACGTCATTAATCTTGGCAGAAATGCCATTAGTCCTGACAGTTCTTTTAGTCCCCATATCTTAAGATGCTGTGATCAACGCTCCTTTTGACAGAATCATCCTTCGAGAGGGGTGAATTTCTTTTTAACTGCTTCATATCATACGGATAACCAAGAATCGAACATCCCCTACCAGACAATGCCCCGGCGTCTGTTTCGATCTATAAAACCTACCACCAAAAGTTTACGAAAACCGAGTTTTACGATATCATATAGCGGTAGCAGATATACCTGGTTCGACGCGCAGACATCTTTGCAATAAGCTGAAACGGATGAGTTATCATGATCGACAGCATGACATCAATGTTCAATACCGACGCTTCACTGCCGTACAACCATGATTTAGCTGAAAGCCTTATTGAAAAGAAAAGAATAAAGGTGGACGGGGAAGGGACTTATTGCTAGCTTACCACAACCATTCCGAGGTGCCTGCACCTCCAGACATTCATTCAGGCAATCTGGATAGAAACTGAAAACGAGATCGCCACTGACGTCGGTTGGCATCCATAAAAAATCGAAACCGTTCAGCTGTAACATCCTTCTAGTGCCTAACTGCCATGCTATCCGAAGGAAGCACGAGGGCTGGGATACTGTCAGGTTGCCCAAGCCTAGACAGGGGAAGTCGAGACAGAGGCCGGATTCGAACCACGGACCTTCAGGTCAGTAAATTCGCGCTCTAACCACCTGAGCCATCTCACCAGCCATATTTTGTGGTGTCTCCCACAAGGCGCAGTGAGGACCACGCGGTCCCCAGCCTGGAAAGCGATTAGCATCTCGTAATATCCTTCATATCCCTCTGTCAAGCCAAGGGTTGGCTACCTCTCTGCTTACGCCACTCTAAATTGGGCATGGAAAACAGCACTCGTCGGCAAACGATAGTTTGGCATACGCAACACATGTCCCAACAAACGCAGCTTCTGGTACTGGAAACATTGTTCAGTGGGAGTACTCGTTGCGCAACCGAAAACTCACCTTCTAATTGCCGTCTTACGGACACACGACACTAACCCGCACGAAATATGGTTCTGAGACAACGATTGTCGAACACCTGAAAACGTCTCAGTTCCGTTGCTCGAACAGGTCAAGTCTCACAACCATTCAACAAAACAGTCCGTACCACAGCTTGATCCAAAAGTCTCTTGAGATTCAAAGATTCTCAAATTAGCAAACGCGGCCCGATCCTTGCAGATTCGTGCATTCATCTCATCTGTCACACTACAATCAGAACTAATACAACTTCCAAGATACGTAAAACGCTCCACAAATTCTAGTACCTCTCCCTGGACTGTAAGTGGCGCTTTCAGAGACTGAACGTCCAAGATCATGAACTTACATTTTGTGGGTAAAAGTGCACACCAAAGGACGGGATGACTTTGGTCAGTTCATCTAAAAACACCTTCGCCTACTCCTTTTCGAAAATGAGAACGATGTCGTCTGCGTTCTCCAGATCGACAAGGTTTTCTTCAGAGGCTATTTGAACACCAGGGTTTTGAAGACCTTTCGGCGTCCGTCTCAGTATCTCATCCATCACGAAGTTAAAAAGGAATGGAGAGAGTGGGCATCCCTGACGGACACCGCTTTGTACACGGAAACTTTTGGAGAGCTCGCCGTACACTCACACGTCCGGAAGTCTGAGAATACAAAGAACGTATTATGTTCACAAACTTCCGGGACATTCCTTGGTGGACAAGTGTGTCAAGAAGAACAGACCGATCAGCCGAGTCGAATGCGCCTTGGAAATCCAGGAACACCAGAATTGTGGGTCGCTTATACGTATGGCGTTGTTCTAGCACCTGACGCAGTGTGAAGATTTAGTCAACGCAACCTCTACCAGGCCTGAATCCTGAATGCTGCTCTCGAGTCAGTGTCTCGCGAGCCACCGTAAGGCGACGAAGCACAAGCGACGCCAAGTCTCATTAGGACCGGGGTCAAGCTGATCCCACTGCAGTTATCACACTCAATCCGAGCCGCTTCTTCGAAAATGGGCAATATCACCAACTTTCACCAGTTGTCTGGGACAGACTCATTTTCCCAATGAACAGACAAGCGTTCGCTGAGGACTTCATTCCCGTCTTTGAACAATGCGGGTGGAAGTTCATCCGGATCGGGAGCTGGATGGCGCTTGAGAGAACATATTTTACTGTAGATAAACATGTTCAATTGTAATATGGGTATACGAGTCCGCACCAATAACAGTGTTGAGCAAAGCTGATCAACATTTCTAAATATTGGCCGCTCGGGTGAGTGCATTGGCTATTGATCACCACAAACAAGACTTACCTTTCTCCGGCTCGAAAATCACGCATGATTTCCTCCCGCTCGCGTTGTACCATATCTCCATGCATTGAGGCCACGGTGAAATTGTTCTTGCGCATTTTCTCTGTTAGCCATTCGACCTTACGTTTGGTATTGCAGAAAATGACAGACTGTGTGACTGTTAATGTATCATACAGGTCACACAGTGTGTCGAATTTCCATTCCTCTCGTTCCACGGCCACAAAAAATTGCTTGATCCCCTCCAGAGTCAGTTCATCACTAAAAGTTGAAATTGAAATTTCGGTTGATTAGGGTGTGTAGGAGTGATGAAAACCGCAAATCGAGGGGTGGCGATACAAATCCGGCGACAACGTACCCGAATAGACCAAAAAGGCTCAGGCAGCGCCTAGACGGAAGCAATCGAGAAGCCAAGAGTGAGTCCGAATAGGCAGGCAAAACCTCGCCCTCTGAGTAGACTGTGGACCATTTATCATACACCGACTCCTTCTTAGGGTTCATTGCAAATATAATCTCAGGGTCGTCACTCAGTCACACACTGAAATTAGACTTGTAAGCTAATTCCCAGGCTCAGTGAACCGATCAACCATCAGTAAAGGCACACAGACTACCAAACTGTGAGTAGTCCGACTATATGAGTTTGTCACAATCACCGCGGGTCACAAAAAACCGGTAGCGGAAACACGTAGTTGACAACTGAAGAAAGTCCTAGTGACGGGTTAAGAGGAAGGGGCTTCAGCTTTGCATCAAAAGGGTGTGAAGGCGAAACGACCTGAACAAAGTGGAATCTGAGGTTGAGTGAATGAAAATAAGTACAGTGTTCACATATAGCATCTGCAATTTCCAGTTGACCCACATGGAATCATGGCGATTGGACGAATCGTAATTCACAAGCATATTGGTCAATCACATGGACAATGCATTCCAAGTGTGTGGAATAAACGTTTCCTTCACGGTCAGTTCGAACCATTTGTTGTCATTTTGAGTGTATGTATGCAACTTTTTTTTTATCCAAGATTGACACACCGGATAAAGAGTCCAGTAACCATACAAGAAAGATGGTCTATCACCCGACAAACTGCCCAATTGTCGTGTTCGTTATTTTTTGGTTTTTGAATGGAGTTTGGAAAACGACATAAGCTACCGATGAACGATAAGTCAAGGAAATATGCTAACACATCGAGACCGAAGAGATGCTGCTGCTTTGAACCCACCGTTTGACCAGTATGCGAACAGGCTTCGTCATGAATTTGGAGGTCATTTCCAATATCTCGTGAGGCATTGTTGCGGAGAGAAGAACGACCTGAGTCCCTGGAGGTAAGTAACGGTAGACGTCGTAGATTTGTTCCTTGAATCCTTTGTCTAGCATCTCATCGGCTTCGTCCAGAATGAACAACTTGATTGCTCTTGTACGCAGATTTCGTCGACGAATCATATCTGACGGAACAAAAGGGACAAGGCACACAGTGAAGACGAGTAACCGCATGAGAAATTATTATTTAGCCAGGGTGCACTTTGCACAACAACAACAAAGTTTACTAAATCGAATTAAATAGTACAGCGGATCCCGATCACAAAGTACGTTAAGATCAGAAGATGACCATCTCACAAAAGATCAAACGTAGTTGTCGTAGATATTATTGGGGTGAATATATTGGGGTGTGTGCGGGTTTGTAGATGATAAATTGGGGGATTGTTTTGTTCAGTATTTAATCGGTTTTTAAAACCCTTAGTCTCCTCGTGTATTATTTATCAACCTCAGCCACTGCCTTGCTGAACGTCCGCCAGAGGATTTCGGACACAACCTTGCTTTGTACTTTGCGTGACCCGCTCACAGGTTTACCGCTACCTGGTGATTTTAGATAATGCTTAACCTTGAAGAACCGCTTTTGATGCACGCAATTTTTCCGTTCAACCTAGGTTGCTCAGATGCTGTGCCACTGCACTTTTCTGTATGAGAGCTGTAAACCAAATCGACGGGCTATTAATGAAATTTGGCCGACAGTGTCGCTGGGCGTGATAGTAACACCACGAACTGACACGATCATTATCACCATTGAGAGGAACGCCAGACGATAGCAATGGTCTCTCACTAAGGTACTGTTATGTGAATTTATTTCAATAAAGCCTTACGGCCGAAAGAAGAAATGAAACAGCGGCGGGGACCTAGAGTTAGCTGACAAGACATCCGAGATGCCTACACCTCAAAACTCTGCCCAACAATCTAGATGGAAACTGACAGCATGAACGCCGCTATATCGTTCAGTGTCTTCAGCGAAGCATAAGAAGGGTCACGTAGATACCATCATGGAAGGCAAACAGCAAACAACAGCACCCAAACTCTTTGTAACATCCTGCACTCTCCTGTCATATTGAATTCTGCCCACTCCGAATCAGGCATGGAAAACAGCGCTCACCTTGGCAGATGGCAAGTCGGTGGCAAAGGGTCAAGTCACCTTAACTCACAGTGCCGGATGCACTGTTCCAGCATCTCTGCCTCACTAAAAGCCCATCTGATTACCTCATTCCTAATACGCCAGTTCCAGCCAATTCCAACTACAGTTCTGAGACATCAGTGGCCAAGGACATGCAGATGTCTCATATCTTCCGCCCGAAGTGGCCAAGTCTTGCAGCAGTACATCAACATGACCCGCACTTTAGTCTGGTATACGCATATGTTGAGACCCACTGAGATACCTTTTGATACCAAAAGTGGCGCAAATTGGCAAGCGCAATTCTGGCATTCAAGACCCGTGCGTTTATTTCGTCTGTCACATTGGTGACTAAGCTAATGCAGCTCCTAAGGTACTTATATTGTCCCTCCAACCCTCCAGCGTCTCTCCCTGAATTCATGTTCAAAGACTCCACATAGAGGCGAATAGGTTGGAAAAACATGAACTGAGGGTTTCGTTCCGACCTCTGAACACAACGGGTGGGATCTCATCGGGACCAGCAGCTCCGTGACGTTTGGGGAACAAAAGGAATATTCTTATTCCCGGAACCGAACCAACTTCAAACCTATAGGAACCCTGGATAACTCAAACTTTAAGTCGATTTTGTGAGTGCTGTGCACATGAAATACTTGAGCTATCAAAAGTTCATTTCCGAGATCTTGAACGTCAACAAACACTTGTTTAGTGAAACCGGCTCAACTACTACCAATCGCCATATATCAAACTGTACCGATGTACCTGGATCTTTCTGGTATCCAGTGGCTTGCTTGTTTAGCTTGAACAGGTGATTCGGGTCATAACAGTTTAGTCTCTGCAGTGCTCACTACATCGAATGGTCTGTAGAAACTGACCATCAATTTGTCAGAATGGATGTCACAACAGCGTGTGAACACAGTCGGCTGAACTCTGTAGTTGATCAGACGCTTTTGGGAGCGCCGCCTGAGTTCACTGGCGAAGCTGGCCAGAATTCCGTATCCCCATATTCATTCCGTACTCCCTGGGACCATCGTGGAGTACAACGGCCACGTTCAACATGGCACAATGGCACAACTTCACTTTGGGGGATATTGGTTTAGTATTTTGCAACAGCATGAACCTAAATGAAAACACCTACGAGTAATCGTGCTACGAGGCTTTCTGGGGGTAAAATCTTACTTATCTCTGCGACAGGAGTGTGAAGGCAGTAAGGTGTTTCCCCCAGGCGACCAGCACGTCCGTATTTATGGAAACAGCGATGCTGCCTTCCCCCTGAGGAAGGACGGGTTAGAAAAGGTCGGCCCCAAAAACCGCACACTCCGATCGCCCAACGATTGACCGTGGCCGCCAGAGCATTATCCACTTTCAAAACTAATGAGTTCGGTGCTACTCAAAAGGCACCTGCTGTGCTCAAACACATCCAGAATGAGACAGTAATGCCTTATTCCCTGCGCCCTCGGGTTAGGCCAACCCCCTGCAGCCGAGCAGGTCAGACTATTGAGTCATAGGCTCTGGAAAGGGTTCCCAAAGAAAACCCTATTGTCTGCTGTCTTGTGGATCAGACCTTTGAGTCAGAGGCTACGGGCAAGGTCCCCGAACAAAAGCCTACATTCTCCCACTGCCTCGTGGGGCAGACGTCTGAGTCAAAGGCTCAAGGTGGGGTATCTCGACCAAACCCCCTTCCTCGCCTGGGCAACCGGGAAGTATCATTTGCCCGCGCAGTTCAGCGTCCACCGTTGTCCCTCCCCAAAGCCTTCCCAACATACAAGCAAACATTGCTGGGTCATTTGACTGTCAGTTATCTGACCGAAGGGCCTCATGCTTCTTACTGCCCATTAACAATGAACCAAATAACAACTGTCAAAATCCATGATATCCTTTCTATATAGGAGCTTTTAACGTCCGCACTCTATGTCAAATTGGCAAACAGGCAATGCTTGCTGAAACCCTGTACTCCTTTAAAATCGATGTATGCTGTGTCTCCGAAACACGCACACAAGATCCGAGCGTGGTTCTGCATCTCAGAACGCCAAGAATGAACTCGGCTCTTTCACGTTTCTCCCTCTGTGTGCCCAAAGACCCAGAGGCGATGACTCGTGGAATATATGGCATGGGAATTGCACTCAGCCCTAGAGCTGAACACGCTTTGCTGGATTGGATCCCAGTGAACAGTTGTCTTTGCGCCGTCCGGTTATCTAGTTCAGTCAAGTTCAATGCCTCTCGGCATAAAAACGGTGCCTGTTTGTCGTGTTGGCTCATGCCCCAACGGACTGCAGTTCTGATGCTGAGAAGGGTACTTTCTACCGAGAGCTATCCGGGCTCATTCGTCAGGCAAAAAGCAGACCTGTGATCCTTGCAGGCAATTTGAATGCTCAAGTAGATCGTCTGAGCTCCTTGAAATCACATTTGGGTGGTCGATGCGGAGTCGATTCTCGCCGCACAGACAACAGAGCTCGACTCCTTCAGTTGTGTGCCGATCATGAACTGTTTCTGACAGGTACGAACTTTCAGTATAAACGTTCACATCGCGTAACCTGGCGGCCATCAGCTGTAAATCAACCATGGACCCAATTGGACCACGTGGCCATCAGCCACCGGTGGAGAGCCACAATCCAAGACTGTCGATCCTTCTGGGGCACACACCTTGATTCTGATCATGCAATGGTAAGTTCGTGTCTGACAGTTCGTTTTCCCTCAACCTCTCGCAGGTCAGCAGAAGCATGCAATCCACCAGCTTCGAAAAACTGCCATAGCTAGCCCAACTCTCCACAGTACACCAATACTGTGGTGGCAGTGAAAATGTGGATGAAGCGTGGCAAAATGTGAAAGGAAATAAGTTAGCTGCATTCATTTCTGTCTGTCCTACTTCTCCTGTTCGAACACAAGACCACTGAATGTCGTCGAGATCGCTATCCATGATTGATGCCAAGAAATTGATACCAACAGGCAACAAGGACGGCGCACAAAAATCCCTCAGACGCCAAATAATGAAGAGTCTAGGACCAAGAGCTATAGTAGACATCGAAAGCTCGGGAGATGGAGAAGGCTTTTGATACGGGAAACAGCCTTGTCCTATATCAACTGATACGATCGACTGGCCCTAGGAAAGCAACGGTCAGCAAAACGATAAGTGAAGGAGATGGCTCATTAATTCACTCGCAAAAAGTCGACTGAGAGCATGGGCCGAATATTTCAAAGAACAGTTCAGTTGACGTCCTGCAACACAGCTTGTAAAGATAATGAATACAGGCGAATGGAATGTAAACATTAATAGACCGTCGGAAGAAGAAATTAAGTACGAAATGTCCGTAATGAAACGTGAGAAGGCACTAGGACCGGATGGTCTGTATTCAGCCCTCTTCAAAGAAGGTGGAGAACCCCTGGTAACCCATCTGAGAAAGCTTATTCGTGCTATGTGGAACGAAGAGAAAGTGCTTACAGAGTGAGGCATGTCGACAGTCATCCCTATCTTCAAAAAGGATACGCGGACGCTATGTGAAAACCGCCGTGGCATCAGCCTGTTAGCTGTGACATCGAAGGTGCTTTCTGGCCTTATGCTTCGAAGGTTGACTGAACACAGGGAGAGACAGATCCGTGAAAACCAAGGTGGGTTCCGTCCTGCAAGAGGTTGCATCGATCATATCTTCACCTTCTGTCAGATTTTGAAGCAGACACGCTGCTTCTAGCAGCCAGTAATGATTGTGTTTCTTGCCTTTGACTCTGTGGACCGTCAGGCACTATGGCAATGTCTGTGGAACAAAGGTGCCTCCATAAATTCTTGACCCTCCTTAAGACGCTGTACGCC